TAAGAAAGACTCAGGAAGGCAATTCTTAATTTCAAAAGTAGTTGCTGATTTGTTCTATGACTTAAGCATCATGTAGTATTATTTGTTTCACTTCTTAATGGATGATAATCATAGCAAAAGGAGCATGAGGCAGCGGGCTGTATTATACCAGGACCCCATGGTATGGTGTCACCCACTGGTCCTTATCATCCTAATTAAACTAATCTAGAAATTGCCCCAACAGGAATCCCCAGAGGTTTGTTCCCATGGTGATTCTAAATTTCATCAGGTTGACAATTAAGATTAACCATTACAATGCTAGCTCTTGTCAACTTTATACTTAGACACATCACTTTAAGCCATAACCTTCTACTCCTTGTCCCCATAGGCACATGGGCATCTCATGTCACAAAATGAACTCAGTCTGTCTTAAGTTCCCACAGTCTTTAATAGTTCCAACACTGCTCAAAAATTTTAGTTTTGCGTGCAGAATTTTTTCTAAAATCTAGCAAATTTCTTAACTATGAACTCCTCTCAGTCAAACAATCAAACAAGAAACAAATTTATATACTTCCAACATACAATGGCACAGAATAAATAAATATTCCCATTCTAAAAGGGAAGAGGGGGCATATCAAAGACAGATAACACAAAAGCAAAGCAAACTCCCAGCATGGTGAACAGCAAGTCATGTAGTTCTATCTTCAGTATCTAGGGCTCATAACAGAGTCATCTGGGCTCCAAAGGGCTTGGGTGGCCTCTATTTTCTCTAGCCTTGCTGCCTATAGCACACATAACCTCTCCCTTGAGCCAGCACCACTCCATGCATGCAACATTACACAGTGTGTATTCCTTGATTCTGGTATCTCCAACATCCTGGAACCATCATTGTAACTTAAGCTTTACCTTTACAACTTCACACAGTCTCATTACAGGATTCCAACTCTTATGTATGGTTCCTTGCCTCAGCAGCGCTCTGAAATTGTGTTTCAAGATCTAGGACCACCTCAGTTTGCATCTTTATGTTCGAAGTACTATGTGGACAATGCTTCCAAGTTCTCTTGCTAGCCAACTATGGAGCCTGGCCTCCTCGGACTTCTGGTGCAGCAGCCTCTGTGAGTCTCCGTTTTTTGTTAGAAAATAAAATGCAGCATAGCAGGGATGACATGGCAGCAAGAGCCTGAGGCAGCTGGTGAGGTTACTTTCAGAGTCAGGAAGTAAAAAGGAATGCATGCTGGTATGAAACTCACTTTTATTTTCTACTTTTTATTCAGTTCGGGACTTCAGCACATGGAATGGTGCAACCCACATCTAGGGTGAAATTTCTCTATCTCAATTAACATAGTCAAGAAACTTCCTTATAGACTTATCCAGAGGTTTCCATGGCCACTCAACATCCCATTGAGTTTACAATCAAGCTTAATCATCACAGTAGGGATTTACCTATTTAGGAATTTGTTCAATTCTTCTAGATTTTCTAATTTATTGGAACATAAGGTTTCAAAATATTCTTTGCTGCTCCTCTTGAATTCAGTTGTATCTATTTGTTTTAATATCACTTTTGGTTTTAAATTTTATTAACTTGAATATTTTTTCTTTCTTTATATAGCTGTTTGTCTTATTTAACTTTACAAAGAATTAATGATTTATTGACTACTTGTATATTTCTTTTCATCTCCATTTCATTACTTTACACCCTGATCTTTATGATTTATTTACATCTCCAAATTTCAAGTTTGATTTGTTCCCATTTTTCTAAGACCCTGAGTTGCATCATAGGTTATTTATTTGAGAGCAGCCTCATCTTATATATAGGTGCTCATAAACTTCCCTCTGAGAACTATAAACAAAGTTTCTTCAGGGATTTGTCAATTGGGTTTCAGAGTTGAAGGTTGATCCATGGAAATGAGGCCTAATTTGAGCCTTTTACATGTTGAACTTAGGTTCTCAGTGGGGTTGGGGGGCCATGAGGACAATTCTTGCATAAGGGAGACCAGGACAGCCTATGCACAGGAAAGATTCAATTCACATTTAGTTGGCAATTTAGAGCTATGAGGTCTTTGTGAGGTTGTCTGTTAGAGTAATTATACCTCTGCCAAGATCTGTTAATTCTTTCTAAAGAGAGTAGACTGAAGTTGCTATTTTAATTTTTGGGTAGATTGGTTCTTATCTTATCTAACTAATAACATTTATTATGGACATTAAATCTTTAGCTGATTAGGCATTGCTAAGACCTGCCTTTGTTTTTGTTTGGAAACATCATCTTGCTATGAATCTAAAACTGGCCTCCAACCCACAATCCTCCTGCTTCAGCCTCCTGAATGCTTCAGTTTATAGGTGTAAACAGCCACACCTATTTCTATTTTATATTTTACCAAACCATGCTTATAATGAATGTATTTGTGACAGCATTATTGTGATGTTAATATAACTGGAAAAGTAAAAAATATTTAACCATCAGGGAATGAACAGCCAAATAATATACAGTACATTCCTACTGCAGGATACTGTTCAGGTGCTAAAAGAAATATCTATGTGTATGTAGAATATGAAAAGAGGACTATACATATGATATGGAAAAGAGTGAAATGTAAATATATGTATGTAGATAAACATATGCACGTATAAAATGTTCTATTTTTGTTCAGAAGAATACTATGCATACATGCATAGCTTTTTTAAATTATATTTGTTAATATTTATAACTTCATATTGCTTTCTAGCAGTATGTTAAAGTCTCATCATGTCTAAATGGTCTAATCTCATTCTTAGCGGAATTCTATAAAGCAGGTAATTATTTTACCTGCTGTAGAACTCTGGAGACCCACTGTGGGCTGCATAGTATGTTGGAGAAAGAACTGAGGCTCCAGCCCAGAAGCCCACACTTTCAACTGCCATACTCTGTGATGTGATTTATTATCATTTATTCTATGAAAGAACATGAGGCATCCTTGTATGTAGTGGCCATGTTGTATGCAGCTCACACATGAGCTAGGCTGAATAAGTTGCTTTCAAGATTCTTCCCTCATTCTGAATTGGTGTTCAGGCTTCAGAAACCTCCTGCACACACTTCTGAAAGTTCTACTTCTCTATAAAGGATATCTTCTAACTGGCACCCTCTGACCCATGATGTTATTACTCATTTTGGAGTTCAAAAGAGAGTTGGCTTGTTTTCTGTCTTCTTGCTGGATTTAAGACCTTTGGTGAATTCTTGCTTTAGACTTCAAGTCACCCTTGAAGCAAATTTATAACATCATTGTTACAGTTTTAGCTGCTAGAGTAACCTAGGTCTACAGTCCAAATTAAACATTAGCTTGTACTGTGTCTAGGCTTCAAAGTAATGTATCCAAAAGAACTTTACAAAGAGACAACGCTGTTGAAATATTTAAAGTACAAACAGGAAAGTTCTGTGCTTGCAATGAGAAGGCCATTTGATCTAAAATCCCAGTCTGATTCTTCATTTGTCTGGCCCTTCCCAGTAGCCCTTTTTACTCCCCACTTTTAGCAATCATGTGCCTAAGCAAGTCAGCTCCCTCTTTGTAAAGTGCTTTTGATGGTGTGTATACACAAGCTGTCTCCTAACATTCCATATTGATTTCATATAGTTTGAATTCCCTAGAGCGACTGTGTTCACTAACTAACCTCAAGGTTTGGAACACTAGAATTTGTGCCAGGAAAAAAATGTTTTAAGTGCTTGTATGAGTGCAGAGGAGGGGGTTTTAGTCACTAAGATTATTTTTGGGGGGTCATCGCTTCCTCCTGCCTTGTGCTTCCCACAGTCCAACTTGCATGCACAAAGTTTTGGTTGGTTACTTTTTATTGTGTTCTAGAAGGAACTGGTTTCTCCCATCCTCTGTGATTTCAATGCCCTGTTTTTCAAAGACTGTAGGTCCGAGAGTGGGAGAAAAGCTGGGGACAAACACTATCATTTATGACATAGCCAATTAAGGATATCCTCAATTCTGCTTACTCCTGTTCTCAGGCAAAGCAAAAATAAACAAGGAGTTATAGGAACAGGGTGTTGATGAGCGGAACAGAACTGAATACATGCAAGTGTATCACATTGCGTGATACTAGACCTGAATACCAATTTCTACATAATGGGTCTATTTCTCAAAATTATGTTTTTAAAAAGTAATGATCTTTGTTGCCTGGATCACCCTCCACCACCACCACCAAACACCTTGCTAGTTAATTTTTTGCAGGCCTCTTAGAGACATTGATGGTTTGGGTGATTTCTTGTGGCAGAAAAAATGCCGGCTTCAAACGCTTTTCCTCTAACTAAAATGCATCTGTTGTGTAACGCTACAGCTGGTTCAGAGTACAGGTGCTTGCTCTTGGCTCCTGCTCTGCCCTGAGGAGGTAGAGGGGGTGAGCCCAATCCAGATCAGGTGTGGGGGAGGAGAGGCACGCTCACAGCAGAGACCACAGTGTTGCAACCTTAGCCCATACCAAATCTCTGGGAGAGTTTCTGGCTGCCTGTATGTCTCTGTGAGTAACTCCAGGCCCCCAACTCTCCAGAGTGGGATGTTAACCCTGGAACCACCCAGAGATCAGGTAGGTAGCTGAAGGAAGTTTGAGAAGCACTTTCTGTCTGAGAGTCTACACATCGTTCTTCTCCTTTCATGGACTACAGGCTTCCTATTTGAGACATCAGAACTGAAGGCTGAAATTCCTCAAGGTAAGAAGACTCCCCTCACAGGAAATGGACTCCTCCAATGTCCTTACATGATTATTCAGGCACTTTCACTTTTCCATATATAGGAGTCACCGGGGAGCAAACTGTGACCGGCAGAAGGAAGTGACACATCTGTATTCCATCCACTCTCTCCCTCTTTGCCCATCCTTACCCTGTTCTCACACGCTCATAGGCACTTAGGCAGACGTCATCTCCGTTACTCTGCCAAAGACCACCCTGTTGGTTTTGTAGGGAGAGGAAAAAAGAAAAAAAGAACCTGCAGGCAAAGGTACAGCATTGAAGTTGTCATCTTGGAAAAGTGAAGGCGAAAAGGGTGGACACAATGAATGGACCTGTGGATGGCCTGTGTGACCATTCTCTAAGTGAAGAAGGAGCCTTCATGTTCACATCAGAATCTGTAGGAGAGGGGCATCCAGGTAAGTAGGTTGTCCTGAGCTCACAGGCAAGCCTGTCATCCTCAACCTCTGCCCAGGGAGTCACTTTTACTAGATACCTTAGAAACAAGGTTCATCAGTTACTGTAGACTCTCTCTGAAAGAGTGTGAGCTAGTTGTAAAGCTGTCACCCATCATGAAGCCTAGGTCCATGATGCTGCCACTCAGCATCTCAGCAGCAAGGGCAGGTTGCTATATACTATGTGTATTAGCAGAACTAAATGAAATAATATACTTTTGAGTAAAGCTCTCATCTATTATCTATTATCAGTGACCTATTAAACTCAATGGAGGATAGTCCTCAAGTGGGAGCAAGTTTTACACATAAACCATGCACAGATTAGAAAGGAGTAGCCCTGCATTTTAACTGGTGTTGAGACAGAGTTCCAGACTGCAAGGATCTCAGAGATGCTTTCTGACACAACTATAAACTTCCTAAAGATCAGTGATTCTCAACCTGTGGGTCATGTCAAATAACTGTTTCACAGGGGTCATCTAAGACCATTGGAAAACACAGATACTTACATTGCAACTCACAACAGTACCAAAAGTACAATTATGAAGTAGCAAAGAAATTTTTTATTTTGGATTTTTGAGACAGGATTTGTTTGTGTGACAGCCCTTGCTGTTCTGGAACTCACCTTGTTGACAAGGCTGGCTTCAAACTCACAGAAATCCACCTGCCTTTTACTCCTGAGTGATGAGATTAAAGGCATGCAACATCATGCCTGGTTAAGAAAATAATTTTATCACTGGGAGGCAGGGAGTCACCACAACATGAGAAACTGTATTAAAGAGTCGTAGCATTCAAGCATTGTTTTGGTTCTTTAAAGGGGGATAGATTGTGATATAGGGAAGCTAGAGACAATTCTCAGTAACAGGACCGTGAGTCAGAAGTTCTGATTATAGGACATAGGTTGTTACACTTTGGAGTACAAAAGCATCACCCTACAAGACTTGATGAAGGCAAGGGCTGGGACTTAACTCCCACAGTGTCCAGTTGGATTGGTCTTGGTAGATCCTTAAGAATTCTAATTTCTAACAGCTCTAGGAGGTGCTGCTTCTGCTAGTGTGGGACTATCACATAGAGAACGACTGTTCTGGGAGAACTCTGGGGTTAGGCACACTGATATGAGGACTTAAGCATTTGTTCGAATTTATTTTGAGTGTTTACAGTGTGTGTTAACTTATCACCAAGTCCAATTTTTCCACCGTTCTTCTTTCTCCAAGAGCTTTAACTTGAAACTTGATTTTTGACTTTTCAGTACACTACACCTGTGTGCCTTATCCCATGGCTCTCAACCAAAGGCAAAACTGGCTGTCTTCTTCCAGAAGCATTTTGTTATGTCTAGGAACATTTTGGATTGTTACATCCTAGGGCTTGGAAGCAAGGTGCTCCTGGAATCTGTTGGGTAGAGGCCAGACATGTAGCTAAATATCACACAAAACATGAGAGAATCTCCACTACCAAGAATTGTTTGGCACAAAATGTCAATAGTGTGACTATTGAAAAACCTTGTATCAGATCATTTAGCGTGAGGCTTTCTATTCATTCTATAATAAATAGATGTTCTCATCATATTTCTTTATAGATCAATTTCCAGATCTATATATGATTTTAGATACATCCTTGGTACCTAACACATACTGGGCAACTCCATAGTTTCTGAAAGTCATCTGTATGTTGGAAGAACCTACTCTGCCCAGAGAAAGTGAGTTCTTTGGCATCCAGTTGCTACTTGTCTCGAGTGTGGCCCATTGTGCATAGCAGAAATATGCTTAGTAGACAGAGCATGAAAACTTCTGTCAGTCCACTGACTGTTTTGCCTACTTCGTGGTCTCACTCTCAAATTTGTCTCATTTGTCATTCACTTTCCACTGTATAATAAGTGTCCAAGTAAGTTGGTTTCCGCTAGTGTTCAGTGACGTGTTTACCATCCATGGCTGAATTCTCCCACATCAGAAAGATAAAATTTTCGTTTCTTATTAATCTTCCAAGAGAGCTACCATTGACCGTCTTAAGCCTACTGATGACAGAAACTTTGAAAGCCTGAGCAGACTTCTCAGAAAGAATCCCTTCCAGGAAGGTAGTTCAGTAGTATAGAGCTTGCCTGGCATGTGCAAGGCCCTAGAGATTTGGTGGCTTCACCCCCAACAAGAAAAAAAACTTAACTGTAGTCCCAACACTTGGAATCTGGAGAAAGAGGGTTAAGACATCAAGATTACCCTTGGCTATATAGCAAGCTCAAGGCAAGCTTCATGTGTGACTTGGTCTCAAAAATCCCAGATAGAGGTAGGAGGGAGGGGAGAGAGGCAGGAGGTCCCTCAGGGATAGGAATTATCAATCAGCTCTCTTGATGAGCTTGTTGGACTCTAACTTCTCCCCACAGTTGTATTACCCTACATAGTGGTACCTGTGTGAGCTGAACCCTTTAAATAAATAGGATGCCCGGATGTCTGTCTGTAGTTAACCTATGGATAGTTTCTAGGCATCCTGGCTGGTCAGCATTGGCCACCATGTAATTTATTTTAGGATGTCAGAAGGCCTTTACTGATAGGAGTGGCAAAAGGTATGGACTCACATGTACCTGGATTTAAAATCAGCATCTGCCACTGACAGGAGAATGGATAGAACAATTCACCCTGTGTTTCATGGTCGTTTCTGAAGGAAAAAAATAGAACGCTTACCTTTAAAGGCAAATTAATCAATATCTTAGTATTTACTTTTGAGAGCTAAACTTCTTGACTCAGGGCCTGAATTCTCAAAAATAATCTGTTGGGGCAGGAAAGATGCTCATGGGTAAGAGCACTCACTGCTTTTGAAGAAGACTGGGACGTGGTTCTCAGCATTCACTCCAGCTTCAGGGGACCCAACATCCTCTTCCAGATGCCATGGGCATCTGTGCTCCTGTGTGCACATTCTCAAGTTTGTGTGATTACACACACAAATTTCCACAATTAAAAATAAATCTTTACAAAAACAGTCTTTAAGAGCAGATTCTCGGGGAATTTTGAACATTAAGTGAAAGACAATATTCACGGAATAGGAGTCTCTCTTAACTCTCAATTTGTTAATAGACACACTTTAACTGGAAAGCAGAAGTGAATTTGTGCACAATGTCACTTGGTGATCTACATGTTAGATCATGTGAATCCTTTAGGACAAATGACAGAATAGCGTCAGTTTCCAGCTCCTGCTGAATCTTTGTTGGTCCCATCTTAGTCCAGCTATCCGGACACCTGAATTGTAGGAGGCTGAGTGACCAGAGGAGGATCTGAGAGCTTGTATTAATGTTCTGCTGAACAGCAGTGGTGCATATGGCTTGCCTGTGGTGTTCTCACAGATGGCACCATCTGCCTGGCTTGTGTTTTGCATCTGATTGATTGTCTCTATGGAGCCTTCAGGATGGTATTTATCTGGTCTTACCACTCAATACCTAATCCTACTGATGTTATGAAGGATTTTAGACTATATTTATAACTTTTCTAGATGTTAGAAATAAGGAATAGGTTTGGGGAATGAAAAACTTTTTGTCATTATGTGAATTGCTTTGACTCTTAGAAGAGCTGGTTTTGAAATGTATTTTCCTTTTAAGAAATTCTATGATTTTATGTAATGCATGTAATCCAAAATGAGGTAGGAATTAGAAGAAATTATGAGTCCAAAATATTTTTCATTTCTGGGAGCTCATGAGGCCTTACATCTAGCCAAGGAGCTATTATATTGGCCACTAATGGCAGCTAAGGGAGGGAAGATCGTTTTTCTTCTGTGGTTTAGCCACTGGCAAGTCTGTCATGCTTCAGTAAATAATACCACATTCATGCTCATGCCGGCAACCCCAGTCAAACTAAGTGGGTCACCAGAAGAAAACAGCAAAGTAGTAGAAGGGGATCCTAAGAAAAAGTTCAGAGGGAATGGAGGGGCGTGAGAGGGTAATGGGAATTGAGTATGATCAAAATATATTATATACACATATGGAACTATCAGAGAATAAGTAAAAATTTCAAAATCTACAAGGACTATTCTGATAAAATATTTCTCATTTCTGACATTTAAAAAATATCATTTTTATCTTTATAGGTAGATTTGATAGGCGGACTGATAAAAATGTCAAATTATTTTAGCATTTAACTTTGCCATGCTTAACAATGATGTAATCTTACACTTAGTGTTTCTTCTTATCCAGATAAGATCTGTGACCAGATCAGTGATGCAGTGCTGGACGCTCATCTCAAGCAAGACCCCAATGCCAAGGTGGCCTGTGGTAAGAGACAAGCACTCTTATTGCTGGAGAACTGAGTATGTTGGACAGAAAAGTTCATGGTGGACATAAGACCATAGATTCATACTCGTCGGGCCCAAAGTCAATGTCCTCCTGTCTGCAGGAGATTTCTTCTTTAAGTGACCTTCTTGTGTTGTATCAGAGAGGAAAAACATTTCTAACCATGAAACAGATTTAACTAGAATTTGACATTAGATGTCATCACTATCATAAGTAGCAGAGGGCTGAGTGGGAACATGGCTTTCCTAACATGGGTTTCATTAGGAGTGAGGGAGCCTTTTTCAAAGTTAGATGAATCTCCCAGAGGAAGTGAAGAGCTCGAAATACTCGAAGCTGTCTAGAAGCTCATTTTGATGGCTCTGTATGTCTGGAATCTCCTCTGATTTTCTTTCCTAGTTTGTGGTATGCCTCAGATGTTAAAATAATTTATGCATCCCATTTACCAGCAACCAAAAAACTGCAGTTCCATCAACTGTCCATAACCACACCAACAGCTTTCCAGAGGGTTATCATTGTTAAATAAAGTACTGAGACCCTTGTCCACACCCACACCCTCCAATGTTTCCTGGAGGTCCATGTAGGCAAAATACCTTTACTGTTGTTTGTGGGATAAGTTCTCCAACATCCAATCTTTGCTTGATAGAAGGGCTTGGCACACAATACAGCCCTTGACTCTAAAGCTTTGAAGGCCCAGGTCCAACTTCTGACTTTACTAATGGGGCTACAGTGCTGGCTACACCAGGATCTTTGCAGTAGCTTATGAGGCAGGAGACCTCAGTATGGGGACCAGGGTCCACTGTCAGGGTCTGTGCTGGTCTCTCCTCTGCACAGACCTTCCTTCCTTGTCTAGAGACGTCTCAGACTATGTCATGTATGCCAGGTCCCCATGCTACTCTGAGGGTAGATCTCACACTGATAGCTTTGAAATAAATGGTAGCACTTTCTGGAAATGCCTGTCCACACTAGCTTTTTAGTTAGGGCTCTTGCTCCAGTTCTTAAAGATTCCATGAGAGCCTCTGGCAGCAGATATTCATGCAATTCCAGTTTTTAAGGAAAAATTCCTTCTGAGAAAGTTGGTTTGTCTTGATCCTCGGATCAGGATTCCACTCATTATAGCAGTGTGTGTGTGTGTGTGTGTGTGTGTGTGTGTGTGTGTGTGTGTGTGTGTGTGTGTCTGTATCACATGCATTCATCATGCTCATTATGAAAGTTACATTACTTGAGACAGGTTAAGTAGGTTGTTTGAGATAACAGAAGCAGTAAATACTTGGCACGAAACTCAAATATAATTGATTCTTCCCAGAGCTTCATTCTCTGGCAGCATTTGAAGATGCTCAGTGGTTAATGCTGGAGTTGCTCTTTTTGTTGGCACAGTTATTCTTTCTTAGAAAGTACTCCTCATTGAAGCCCCCAATGAATCTTTTCATCTCTGTCTTGAGAGGTCTAGACCTTTGAGCTTCTGTCTGCTGGCCCATGACTGTTACCTGCCCTTCTTCCTTTCCAGAGACAGTATGCAAGACAGGTATGGTGCTGCTGTGTGGGGAGATCACCTCAGTGGCCATGGTTGACTACCAGCGGGTGGTGAGAGACACCATCAAGCACATTGGCTATGATGACTCTGCCAAGGGTGAGCATGGGCTTGCTGCATCTGTGTGCTTGTAGGTCTCTACTGAGTGCTTCTGTTTCCCATAGGGAGTCAAGTCTGATCCCTCAGTTTTAGAAAAATACAAATTCTGTCAGGAGGGTAAACAGCCCTTAACTCATCGGGTTCTTTGGAGAACTGCAGCTGGCGGGGTCAGCATGTATCCATCCACTATTGACAAGTCTCATTTAAGGTCCTGCCTTCCTGGTGCTGGCAGTTTTGAATGGAACTCCTAATGAAGGGAGCTGCCCTCGAGTGACAACACGCTCCATGCCAAGCACAGGTGCTAGTGTCTATATATGTCATCTGACTTCATCATTCCGGAACCCCTGGTGTGTTTCTTATGCAAATGAGGGTATCCTGGCTTAGAGTATAAATACAGTGAGATGCCACCAGAGCAGGTAGGTGCTCCTGTACTTTCTACTGAGCCACACTGCATCTCACTATAGATGTGGAGAATGAAGCCTCATTTTCAAGCACGTGGGCCTGGTCACAGGTGAAGGAGACAGGGAAGCCCAGGTTAGCACCCATGCCAGGTGATGTAGGAGCTGAGACCTAGGGAAGAGGTACAGGCCAGGCAAGGAAGTGAGGGGATGAGGAAGTACCAGGTAATACAAGCAGAACTGAGGGCTTTTCAGCAGATGTCACTACTTAATGCCTGGGCAGGCCAGGAAACCACCCAGCCTGGGAGTACATCAGAAGACCCAGGGCATGAGCACCTGTTTGCAAAGATGTTTTGGTAGAGCTTCCAGTGCCCTTTATCCACACCAGCTTCCTGGATTGGGCTCTGACCTCAATTCTTAAAGCTTCCACTATAGCCTCTAGCAGTAGATACCCATATTATTCCAGTTTTAATTTTTTTCAGATTTATTTATTTAAAGAAAAATTCCCTTTGAGTTTCTGTTGGCTTTCTCTCAATTCCCAGAGGTCACTGTGAGAAATATGTTGACCTTGAACAATCACAAGAAAGCCCACTTCTTGGAGGTTGGAGGTGTTTTAGAATGGCTGGGAAGAGAAAGAGTACATGCAAGTTAATTCTCCCACTTAAGATGTAAGGGCTTCATAGAAGAAACTTATCGTCCCAGAGAACAGCATCTTGAGATATTACCACATATAGCCTTTCCCCATTATACTCTAAGAAAACAGTTTATTTATACACATTTAGACCTTATTCAAGACCAAACTTTGCTTTAGATAGCAAAGAAAATTTCCATGTTCTTTAGAAAGGGCCAAGTGAAAGAGCTCCACTCTGACTGAATTGTGCTTGGTTAACCCTAGGAAGATTTATTATTTAGAGTCAATGATTAGGCAAAATGGAAAAAGTCTTAATACACAGAGCAGAGCCCTTTGGCACCTCTCTAAAGACTATTCACTGATTTCTACATCAAAAACATCCACTGGGGGATGGTTGGGGTAAGGGGAGGCAAAGGGCAAAGATGACCACGTTTGGGGTAGAGGTACTGCTTGGCCTCAGATGACACACTGTGAGGTGTACTATGTGAATCTGTTTTCATCTTATGCAATAAGGGAGTGGAATTGCAGGAGTAAAATGTCCAGGGACGCTAACTAGGAGCCAGTCAAGTTTGGGTGTGTGGGGAGGGGCCAGAGAAGGAACATTCTATCCAGAGATGCCTAGGGGAGGTGGCAAAGTACTTAAGACTAGCCCTAAGTTTGTTGTCTAAAGGAGTTCTGGTTCCATGACAGGGGTTGCTGTTAGTGAGGCTTCCCTGAGTTAGCACCCAGAATGCCAGAGGTGGACCCTGAACTCTGTGCTGCAGCTTTGAAGAGGGGGTCTGGGCCCCAGAGGTTTAACTTTTTTATTTGTCATAGCACCCTAGATCTAGGAATCTCGCTAGATGGTTCACACACATGGTGCTTATTATTCAGGATGTGTGTATACAGTAAATATACATACATACACACACACATACACACATACACACACACACACACACACACACACACACACACACACACACACACACACACATATATATATATATATATATATATATATATATATATATATATATATATGGGTAAGGCATGTAGTTGGGATTCTAAATGACAACATTGGAAAGACCCTTGATTTTCAATCAGTGCAGGGATCGAAAATCCTTCCCTCTCTTTCTTTCCCCCATCCCTCAGTCCTCCATCCTTCCATCCCTTTCTTCCTCTCCTTTCCTCTCCCTCAGACAGGGTTTAATGTAGCCCAGATTGACCCAAAACTCCATATGCAGCCAAGGATGGCCTCCTGCCTTCACTTACAAGTGCTGGAGTTACAAGCAAGCACCACCATGCCCTGCTGGTGCTATGATTTTCAAGGGGATTCTGGAGGGTTCCTCTGGGATATCTAGAGAAGCAAGACTATATATAGGTTGCTCACCTACTTGTCAGTCAGAGTGTCCTGGGTCCTATCTGGTTTGTGTTGTTGTGGGTTGCCATATTTCTGTGTAGGGTATACTTTTTTAACCAAGGTATAATTGGTTATTATATTTTTATTATATTTATACTACATTTTAAATTTGTCTGATTTTTAAAATATTTTTATAATAAAAATTTAATGAGGGTGAGGATGGAAAGTACATTTAGCCTGAAAGAGTTTTCAAATAATGATTCTTTTCAAAATGGAGTACCTAAATAGAATATTTTCATCTTAAAAATAGCATGATCCAGGTATAATTGACCACTTTCTAATTAGATTCGAGGCTAATTTAGATTTATATTCTTAAACTATATATATATATATATATATGTATATATATATATATATATATATATATAGTAAAGTATATCATGAAGAATCTTCTCTTTTGAAAGAGTTCTACATGACCATGGAAAAGAATATTAGGTCTTTCAACAACCTGGGCCTCAGCTCTGAACCAGAGGCTATGCCCCCCAACACTAAATACAACATCAGTGATTGAGAAGTCCACCAAGAAGCTTATAGTCCTATCTTGACACATGTCCCCACTTGGCTTGCTTCTGCCCAGGCTTCGACTTCAAGACCTGCAATGTGCTAGTAGCTCTGGAGCAACAGTCCCCAGATATTGCCCAATGTGTCCATCTAGATAGAAATGAAGAGGATGTCGGTGCAGGAGATCAGGTATGTCAACTGTGTGAGGGATGGACCAGTGTGGTTTGTTTGGACTGTGCTATGATCCATGAGAGGAAGCAAGCTGGGTTAATTACACTGTTGGGTGGTCTCATCACTATATAGATCCAGGAAGGATCACATCCGCAGTAAGTTGAGCACTGATTGCTACATGGCAACACTGTCAGACTGTGTGGTAGAAGGCTGTGCTTGCTAATGACAGATGTTGATTGTCTCCTCCTTCCAGAGTGTTTGGGGTCAGAGGCAGTCTTCCCATTCTAAAATGCACAGTACAAAGTGTTCTGTAGGGGGTACCCCTCGTAACTGTTGAAGCATCAAACAAAATATGAAACTTGTAGAACGTTACTGCTCTGAGCTCTAAGGCAGGTGTCCTACTCCAGGGTCTAATGTTCGGCTATGCCACAGATGAGACAGAAGAATGCATGCCCCTCACCATTATTCTCGCTCACAAACTCAACACCCGGATGGCAGATCTAAGGCGCTCTGGTGTCCTTCCCTGGCTGAGACCTGATTCTAAAACTCAGGTGAGTTGCATCCATCACCTCCTGCAGACATCCCTACAGAAACTTGAAGTACACCAAATCATTTTGGTTCTGGCCATATTTATTTTGTTTTAAATTCATTCCTTTACGATTTCACAGCACACACACACACACTGTGCTTGATTATGTGCCCTGTTATCTTCCCTTCTCTCCCTCCAACTTCCATTAAGCCCCTTCTTTTTTCTAAGAAGTCTCCCTCCCACTGTTGTTTTTATTTGTGCGTATAACGCACTGCATTTAATTACAGTTGCTTGCATAAGCATGAGTAAGGGGTTACTTACTCAAATAAAGGTAACTTACCATTTATTGCCTATAGCTCCTCAGGAAGAGTGAGGTGTTATGTATGAGCCTGTCCTCTGTCTATAATGAAATATTGATAGGCCCAGCCTTGGGCAGATGTCATGCAGATAGTCAAAGCTGCTGTGGATTCATGAGTGCGATGCCATATCATATGCAGAAAACAGTATTTCACAGCTCTCCTTCCCATCTTCTGACTCTTCTCCCATTCTCTCCACCTCCTCATGCACCCTGTTCCCTGGACTTTCAAGAGGGTGATAGAGACATCCCATTTGGGGACAGGCACTCAGCGATTACTTACTCTCAGCACTTGGAACAGCTGTGTCTTTGTATTGCCATCACCTGTTGTAGACAGCATCTTCTAGAACCAAGGCTTATACATCAGCAGTTTAAGAATATAAATCTAAATATTTAGAAGGTATCATGTCTATTTAGTAAAGTAACAGGTCCCTCCTAGGGCCTATGTTTCCCCAGCCATGGGCTTTTGACCAGGTTTTCAGTACCAGGCATGAATTCCCTCCTGTGGAGGGAGCCTCGAATCTAATTAGAAAGTGGTCAATTATACCTGGATCATGCTATTTTTAAGATGAAAATATTCTATTTAGGTACTCCATTTTGAAAAGAATCATTATTTGAAAACTCTTTCAGGCTAAATGTACTTTCCTTCCTTACCCTCATTAAATTTTTATTATAAAAATATTTTAAAAATCAGACAAATTTAAAATGTAATTTTTATTTTTATTTATTTATTTTTTTAGCATGTGTAGACTCTGATGATTCTTCAGTTCCTACTGCAGACTTATGTCTTCACCAGTTTCTGTCTTTTTGTGCACACAGGTCTGGTCTCCCCACCTTGAGCAGACTGTCTCTCTGGGGCCCCTTTCCGTGTCTTTACTTCTCATAAAAGGCTTTACCCTTGATGTGTCCAGTTCCAGCGCTGTGGGCCCTGACCTTCCTCTTCCCAGTCATGTGGAAATCTATTTTTATTTGAAGGACAATGATGATGCAAACATGAGCACACGTGGAGCTCCCCTATCACTCTTCAGTCCCCTGATGGCCTTTGGCCAATGGCTGCCTGCCCGGCTCCTGTTCCATGTTCCAAAGTGTGTTGCCCCAGGGTCTTGGCACATCTTCTCTCCCTCTCTTCACACACTTGGCTCATCAATCTTCCATCGTGGCCCCTCCAAAACAGCAGCCCCATTTCTTACTCACTTTGAAAGCTCATGTGCTGAGAGCCTACCACATACTGCTCACTGTCACCTTTCACTCAGCTGAGGACTGCACAATGGGTTTCCCAGTCCTGCTTGGCGCGATCTGTCTCCATGGTACTGGTATCCTGTGTTTCCTCAGATGGGCATCACTCTCACTGCAGCCCAGCCTTTCCTGGAATGGTCCTCATTCCACCCAAGTCAGCAACGGTACTCTATGCCCCCAAAAGGTTCTCCCTGCTTAAGAACTGCAGTTAATTTTTCCTCTTCGCCATCTCTTCAGAATTTTTTGTAAGTTTCTACTTCCTGTGAAAGGAGGGCAGAATTCCCTTGCCAACCCAGCATTCAGACTTTTATAATATTTCCACAATAACTTGCCTGCCCCCTACCTCCACTTTACTGACATCATTCCACTTGGGTTAGCCTTGGATTATAGGGCTTACACTTCATCCTTCATCTTATTTGGGTTTCTTTTCTGGGGACAACGAAGCCCGTATCCTTGTGAATGTCACTTCTGACCCCCACTAGACAGTCTTTCCCTATCCTGCACTTGTGATTGGTGTATAAGCTTTTATGACCCAGTGTGGTAAATGTGTCTGTGTCTAGTTACTCCAACCACCCAGATGAGGTGGACAATGCACTAAGCAGAAGTCTCCCATTGTCTCCACCGAAGGCAAATGAGTGTGTGTATAGCCCCAATAGAATGTTGTCTTGGGTCTTCCTGTGCTATTCATATGACTCTTAAGGTGGACATGGGGTCACCTGCATCTCTTAGGTATTGTAGGAGGTTATGGGACAGGAGAGCTAACATGTAGACTGTTCTGGTACCAAAAGAAAGGGCTCAGAAATGTGGTGCTCTACAGACAAGACAACCCCAGAGCAGGGGTAGGAAAAAGGCAACAGGCCCCTTGAACTTTCCTTCCCTCTGGTAAGAGAGGAACAGAGGGAATTCTTTGAGACCAGCTGTAGTAGAAAAGGCCTCACTCATTTCCCCTGCATAAGAAAGAGGTTTACAAGTCTCAGTAGCACCAAGAAAGAGAGAATAGAGTCTAATAGGACTCCCCTCCCTGAGAGGATGCATTGAGTCCCATAAGGTGCCAATATTTATGCCTATCACAGGGGGCCATGAGCCTGCTCTAGTCAATGAGGATATGGGCCTGCTGGTGGCACTATGTGGGGCCTCTCAGCTGGCCACTGGAAAGCCCCACTGCCTCCATGGTCTGCGTCCACGCTGTGTCAGGAGAGTAGCCAGTGTCTTCTGTGGTCATTTTATAAAGGATTTCCTTTGTCACCTGTGTTGACTGTGACCAGGATGAGTCTTTCCACCTGAGCAAATTGCTGCTGCTGATATTGAGAATCAGGGTTGGCAGTCCAGTGGCTATTTTTGTACCAGGTCAGAGCTCTGTTTCCATAGTGTATTTTTCCCCATATCTGCTGACATGGCAAGATAAGAGCAGAGCATGGGCTCTTTACTCTGCCACCCTGTTCTAGGAGTTCTGCAGGGATACAGCATGGTATTTGCCTGGAAGGGATTGGAGACATCAGGGCTCAGTTGAAAACAGCCAGGTTGGAGAATTGCCTCAAGACTGAGCCCTTCCCAAATTTACATGAGGTGATACTGATCCTTGAGTTTGCCTCCTCCTTGGGAATCTGCATCCCCCACTCTAGCTCCCTCTTGTGGAGCCCTATATGTGAATAATTCCCATGTGTGGACAGTGCAGGATTTAAGGGTTAGTCCTCAATGATTATGCACTTGCTCATCTCACGAGGGTCAGATGGCAGGTGGCCAGGGCTCTTTCTCTTACTTCCTCTAGATCCCACTCTGTTGCTTTTGGACCAGCAGGACACAGAGCAGAAGTCTGATATATAGCCCATTGGCTATACTTGATCTTAGCCAAAAGACTGAAAAGTGGTAGATATCTTTGGATGACTGTCTAAGGCAGCTTGGGCAGGCAGAGTCCTTATTGCAGCACAGCCCCAGCAAAGCAGTGCTTGCTGTAGGGTCCTAACTGGGCTCTAGGATGGAAAACTGTTCTGTGCCTGCCAGTCAGTCAGCCAGATCCCCTACTTAGGTATTTGGCATAGGCACACTTCTGTAAGCATCCCATGCCCCTAAGCTCTGTAGATACTTCTCTGATGGGTACATATTGTCTCAGGCAGCATGGACCCTGTAGCCCAGCATATGGTTCATGGCCTTACATAGCAACTTTCTGCTAGACAGAGCCTTGGCTATAAATCTCTGAGTCACACCTCAGCAATCTTGTGTGCCATCTTGGTCAAGGTGTTTACACTCTGGAAGCTAAGCTTTGTTGTCTATAGAATGGGGCAGCAATGGTTACTAATCTTTTGAATGGCTTCTAGTATGCAAAGCTTGTTCACCCATTGCTGCTTTCTCGACCATCCTCATCTGCCCCAACCCCCCCCACAATCCTTCCACTCTGCAAACCCAGTGGGTCCTACCTGCTTTTCCTTGCCACCTAAGATATCAGGTGTCCATGCCCAGTGATGTGTCACTAGAGCACTGGGTCTCTAGAGAGCATTTTGTCTATGCTACAGTGGGAGTGACAAGCTTTGGTTCAGCCTGAGCAAGGTTTGACTCTTGGACATTTCACAAATCACACTGGCTGTGTGATGTCAGACAAGTTCTGATCTCTTAGTTTATTGCATATATAAAGTGTGTGTGTGTGTCTTAGATTGATGTCTTAGATCTTAATTGGTAATATACGCGATGGGCATAGAATTGGACATGGTGGAGGTGAGTGTTTTAGGGGTTTCCATGGCTTGCCCTGCCAGTACCTGGTAAGCAGGATCCTGACCCCCACCCAAGTGGACACCACTCTACCTTCTTTTGGCAAAGCCTCAAGACAATGGGGATTCAGAGCTTGCTGCCCTTCCAGCTCAACTGTCCTAACTAGAGACTATCAGCCTGTCCCTACAGCTGGCAGAGTTTGCTGGTCCTAATGCGCTTCCAGGATCCTTCACTGAGGGTAGAGGGCCATTTGCCAGGCTCCTCTGTCTCAGAGGCTCAATATATGCCAACAAATATAGCCTTGGTTAAAGATCCTTCTTGATTTTTCACATTCTAGGACAAAGGTAACCTTGTCTCTGCCAGTGACAAGTGGCCTGTGAATTCCTATGTTCACTCATAGAAGTGGGGGAGGTCCATGGGAAGTGGCAAGAGGGTTTTGGCTAGAGAGGGTCACTGGTACTAGCAGTCTCTGGGATAGAAGGAGAAAGGCCCAGTCATCAGTTGAAAGACAGTGCCATGTGTGTGTGCCTTATGCTGTCATCTGTAGTCCTGAGCAAATTAACCAATGTAAGCACATGTCATATTAACTCTCCAAAGAGTCTTTAAAGACAAGGGGACTCACTTGGCCCCTCAGGAGCTCAACCTGCCTCCTGGGGATCTGTGGCCAGCAACCATGCAGCCTTAGCTCAGGCCTGGGCCTCACAGTGTCTCCCTCGATGGACAGGTGACAGTTCAGTACACGCAGGATAATGGTGCTGTCATCCCTGTGCGCATCCACACCATCGTCATTTCTGTGCAACACAATGAAGACATAACCCTGGAGGCCATGCGAGAGGCCCTGAAGGAGCAGGTGATCAAAGCTGTGGTGCCAGCCAAGTACCTGGATGAAAACACCATCTACCACCTGCAGCCAAGTGGACGCTTCGTCATTGGAGGTCCCCAGGTGAGCATTTGTCTCTGGGGAAAGCCCTCTTGCTGGATCTTGATGACTAAACTGCTCGTGTCTCAGGAGACACTGATGACAACAGGTAGTTCTGTGTGGCTTAGCAGCGTCTGCCCATGAACTGAATGTACTCGGTGAACTTTGCCCTGCATTGAAGACACTCTGTGTATCTGTTAATATGTAAAAAGGGGGGCATGTCTATAGGAATCTCCCCTTAGTGCTGTCAAGCCCTACCACCCAGGCATTCCAAATGTTATCATGCCTGCCCACGGCCGCCATCACCTCTCCTTACTTGGTCAGGCACTCACTCATCTCTGTGGTGCTTTCTTATGGCTGACTTTCCCAGGCTGTACTTGCTGAACATTTGCTATGGGGGTCTCTAGCTATTGTAGACAGGACAACAGAACCGGAGTTTTATAAAAGCAGATATAGCTGTTGCCCCTTTCTCCTCTACGTACACAGAACTGGGGATATAAGGATTGGCAGAGCTGACTGTATTGTCCCAAGGCTGAGCCCCCATAACAGGTTCTGTGATCAGACAGTGTTGGTATGGGGAAGAAAGAAGGTTAAATTCCTTGTTTTCTTGAAGGATGATGTCTGAAAATCTAGATAGGTGAGTATAAAGTGTGGCTCTCTAAATAGGATTAGAGTAACTCACTGGATTCTCACCAAATTGTTAAAAATAGCTACCTTTCAAGGGGATTTCCTGAAATGCTGTTGCACAGAGCACATTGTAAAGTGAGCAACAGGCAGCCTTGGCCAGAACTGCAGCCCCAGGCTGTATTTATTGCAGTACAATTCCCACCATAGGTGGACTACTTCTTATGATGAACTCAAAAGGGAAGGTATGACCCCAGATGACCTCTGGCCCATCCCCTGCACTTTCCAATGAGGCTTTGACTGCTTGCCTGATTCCCATAGCTGGTCAGTGCCAGGACTGGGACAAGAGCTGTTGGTTTCTGCCTGATTAAAAGGGGCCTTTGAGAATGTCTGCAGGTGACTCAGGGCATCCTCTCTGAGGGCTTCTGCCCCATCCAGCATTCAGAGCCACTGGTTCTCATCTCTTTTCCGTTTGTTTCCCTCTACAGGGGGATGCAGGTGTCACAGGCCGCAAGATTATTGTGGACACATATGGAGGCTGGGGTGCTCACGGGGGTGGTGCCTTCTCAGGAAAGGACTACACCAAGGTGGACCGCTCAGCAGCTTATGCTGCCCGCTGGGTGGCCAAGTCCCTGGTAAAGGCTGGGCTCTGCCGGAGAGTACTTGTTCAGGTAGGTTGCCCCCACTTTGTCCTTGCCGAAGACCCCAGCCCCACCTGGAGTTAGGAGATACTGGCTCAGTGGGAAGGCCCCCTCTTTGCCATTGGCTGCAACTCTGCATATATTGCATTGACCACTATGGCTGGCCCTGGAAAACTAGGGAAGGAGAGAGCATACCCGAAGACAGAAGGGCTGCCAGACAGGAGAGTTAGGGGTCCTGTTAGCAGAAGAAGTGTGGTCCCTGCTGTTCTGCTCTGTGAAATCTCTCTGAGGGCCTCAGTCCCTGACCCAGATCTTTCTGGAAGGTGTCCTATGCCATTGGTGTGGCAGAACCACTGTCCATTTCCATCTTCACCTATGGGACCTCCAAGAAGACTGAGCGGGAACTGCTAGAGGTGGTGAACAGGAACTTCGACCTCCGGCCCGGTGTTATTGTTAGGTAAGTGCTATCATGCTGCTGTCACATGGGACCTTGCCACTCCTACACCCAGGTGGACACCTGAACAGAAAAGGATTTACAGTTTCTTACAACAGGAGGGTTTCAAGTCCTGGCCCCTCAGCACAATGCCTGGCACTGAGGATAGTCCATGACCCCAACTTGGGGTATCTGGTTTTCAGCTGAAGGAGGCCCAGCAGACAATGTCCCTGGTGAGGCCATCTTTGAGCAGCTGTGGAATCTCGGGCCAGATGCCTAGGAATCCAGTAGGCAAGTCCGTTCTCCTCACAGGCTCTCATGGCATCCTTATTTTCTGGTTCTTGGCTGTGAGAGCACTGGCCTAGGCAAACCAATGGAGTAGAGAAAGTTACTTCAGGTGGCATTCAGATCCTGGTCTGGGTGTGTTAGTGCTCAGCTGTCTCTGACTTTGGAGTTCTTAACCTGAACAGGACGGGGCTGTGGCATAGATAGGGTGCAGGTATGGGTGGGAAAGCTCTCCTTGGACCACCCCTACAGCCTACCCTTTCCCACTTAAAAGTGATCCTTGCCTCCTCTGACTGCAGGGACTTGGACCTGAAAAAGCCTATCTACCAGAAGACTGCATGCTACGGCCATTTTGGGAGAAGCGAGTTTCCCTGGGAGGTCCCCAAGAAGCTTGTGTTTTAGAGCTGATGGGAGATTTGGCTTTGTTCCGTACTCCCCTCTCCTCTGGGATCTGGACTCCCAGATCTCCCAGGTTCTCCCCGAGTACCCTCCCTGCTCCTACTCTCAGGGTAAAGCCAGCTTCTTCTAATTTCTCCCTACCCAGCATCTGCAAACATCTCATGAATGACATGGCAAGTGACTTGCTGGTGTGAGGTTGTCAGGTCTCCTTGCAAGGATAGTCAGTGTTCCCTGTCTGTCCCTCAGATAACAGCAATATTGATTTTGTGAAAAAGTTGCTCTGTCAGGTATGAATTTGCTCCCTCACCTCCTGCCATAGTCTGAACCTGACTAGGCCATCTCTTCCTCCCTCCTGGGTGAGCATCTGCCCAGATGAATGTATTGCATATACCTCCGGCTTCCCCTTCACGTTTACAGCCAGAGCTCCTGATCTAGGGCTTTCTCAAGGCTCCTCTGAGACTGGGCATCTGCCACATACAATATGGTCCATGTCCCCTGAGCATTTGCACTGTGTGAGGGACTGAGTTGTGTGTTCATCACAACACAATAAGATGGCATCTTTATTATCTACATTAACAGATGAGGAAGCTGAGGCACAGAGAGTCTATGGAGCTCTCACTAGTCTCCACAGCCACATGTATCAGAGTCAAGAAATGGATTTTCACTCTATCTGCCTTACATCTACATCCCAAACCAGATGTTGGCCTGTGCGATGACCAAGTGGATTGACTTGAGGCTGTGGCCTTTTATTTAAGGCCTTGGTTTCCTGGAAATTAGGAGATGAACCCAGTGGTTCTTGGTGAGCCCTGGACAGTGTTAAAGGAAGTCAAGACGGAAACTTATAAGTGTCTCATTTGTTCTGAAAGAGGGCTCAAGGCAAGCTTGGTATCTTGGCCTGTCAAGCTGGGCTGAAGTCTAGAATAAAGAAGTTTCATGGTCTTAGCTCCCATTATTCAAAGACAGGTGTGTGAGTTCTCTGGGCGTGGAGTCTGATCATAGACAGCCCCATGTGTTTCTATCCCCATAGAGGGGAGGCAGCCGCTTGTTCCAGCACAGGCAACAGGCCTCTGATAGGTTACCCTGCCCTCTCAAGGCTTTCTCCTTCCTTGGACCCTCATGCTTATGCAGTATAAATGCCGCTTGGGAAGTGAATGACCCAGGTGCATAGCTAGCCCTCAAGCAGTGGACAAGTTATCCAGGATTTCATGAGAACTGGCTTTAACCAGGTAGCCTTTGCAGGCCATATCTGTCCACCAGGGTCCTGGAAGCCACATGTTCCTATGCTGTCCCTTCATGATCAGCGCCACAATCCAACTTGCCCCTAGCCAGGGCCTCCTCACAGCAGACCCTCTCCCAGCTCCCAGGGACATGGGTTCAGGAAGGGACCTGGCTCACAGTGCTGTTTCTGGCTAGGAGAAGGGCTGGGAAGCTTTATGAAGGAGCAGATGCCTTGCATCTGTGCCTCGACTGGACCACAGAGACCCCAGATTTCCCCTTTTCACAAAGGTGAGGAATAGCAGAGGGCAATGTCCTAATGGCCAAAAGTCCTGGATCTGTGTGTGACATAGAAGCTTGGGTCTCTCCATAGGTTTCCTGGCTGCCTGGAGCCAAGTTCCTCATAGCAGAGGGAAGGATGGGTTCCTCATAGCAGATGGGAAGCAGAAGGCTGAGTTCCTGTAACTTAAGTTATGTCTAAATAAAAATCCAGAATTATATACTTCCCCTAACCCTAAGAGTAATGAGACTCTTTTTTCCTTTCAACCTTTCATATGAAACAAAGCCAATATTTGTTACCATTACCTGATAGTATGATGAATAAAAACTCAAGGAGCAATGACTCTGTGCTTTCTGTACTTGTGGTGTGCGTGCGTGCGTGCGTGCATACGTGCATGTGTTCATGCATGTGCATGTCCAGGGGAGGACACTGGGTGCCCTCTCCATCATATTCTGCTTTATTCCCTTGAGACAGTCTCTCACTGAACATGGAGCTAGTCTGGTGGCCATAAAGCCCTAGTGATCCTCTTGTCTTGCTCTCTCACCACACCGTGCTGGAGTTACAGGTGTGCACATGGCCACACACACCTTTTTCAGATGAGTGCTAAGGATTTGGACTCAGGTCCTCATGCTTGTGTAGTAAGTGTTCTTATCCACAGAGGTCTCCTCAGCCCCAATATGATGGTTTATCTGTCTGCAAAACCTGAGCTGCTCCACTGTGAAGCACTTCTGACTCTCCCATTCCCAGAAAGCTGGGTACCATTTTCAGGATTACCCCAACCTTGACCTATATGGGACCTCCCCCAACCCCCATGAACTAATTTTTTCTCACCGACTAGCTCCTGTCTTGCCACTGAGTTATTATATTTGCACCATGTCCGTGTGAGTTAGAGATACTTACTAATTCCTCTGGCAGCCATCAAATTCTGGGGCTGTATTGAAGCAAGTGGGGAGCTGGAACCTATGCAGTATCCTAGGAGGAGGTGTTGGGGAAGGAGTCAATTTTGGGACATGTGCTCACATGCAGGCTGAGGGCAGGGCTATATTGCTCTTCATTCTCATCACCTGGGTTCCAGGAAAGACTGGGGTAGAACTAAGACCCAGGCCTATTGCCGAGAGGAGAGCAGAGAGGCAACAGCCAAAGACAGGTTGTCTCAGGTCTTATATGTGGCTGGCTCTATATCCAGAGAGCAGCTTCTAGGCCCGAGAGTCTAGGGAATAGTCACCTTGCAGAAAAGTAACACATTTTGCAGGAATCTCTGTGAGCAGCAAGACTACCACAAAACATCTGGGAATGTTTATTTGTGGGAGGAAGGTTTATGAATGGAAAAGGGAAAACCATTACTAAAAGTAAGAAGCAAAAGGCTCAAAATTCCAGCTTGAGCGGGAGAGGGTCTCATGAAGTTCCCCCACCTGCTGAGGAGCTACTGGCAATTGGTGATGCTGGAGGAGAGAAGAACCAGTTTTCTTCAGGGATGCAAGCCCTGAGAGGCTCCAGTAGATGGTCTTACACCCATGAAAATACAGACAGTACTATGTGGAATCAGTGTTTGTTTGTTTAACATGGAATTGGGAGAAAATAGTGGTGCAGTATAGGGGTGAAATTGAAGGGAAAGGAAATGGGTGGGTTTGAACAAAAGGCATTATATGCATTGTGGCATTCTCAAACAAAAGAAGAAAGAAGGGCTAGGAAGTTGGCTCAATAGTTAAGATGCTTGCAATGCAAGCAGCAAGCATAAGGATTAGAGTTCAGGTCCCCAGAACCCAGGCAGCCCACCTATAATTCCAGCACTCAGAAGGTGAGGTCAGGGGGTTTTCCCAGAGCAAGATGGCTAGCTAGACTATACCAACAAGTTATGAGTTCAATTGGGAGATCTTGCCTTAAGAAATCAGGTTGAGAGTGATTGTGGAAGATTCCCAATGCCAGCCTCCACTTGTCTGTGCACACATGCATACACACATGTGCTGACATACAAAAGGACATGCATATTCACATGCACACCACACATACACAGGCACATGCAAAAAGAAAATAGAGAATATACTTTTGATGTATAGAACTCTCAAAAGTCAAGATTGTAGTAAAATATGGATGTCTGTTTTCTATCACTGTGATAAAACACCATGACCAAAAGCAACTTGGTGAGAAAAGGGTTTATTTCAGCTTACAGTTGTAGTTCATCATGTAAGGAAGTCAAGGCAGGAACCTAGAGGAAGGAACTGAAGCCATAGAGGAACACTGTTTACTGGCTTGCTCCTCATGGCTGGCTCAGCCTACTTTCTTATACAATCCAGGATAGCCCAGATGTGACACTGTGTCCAGTGGGCTGGGACCTCACACAGCAATTATTAGTCAAGAAAATGCCCAAAGGCTTCTCTATAGGCAATCAGATGGAGTCATTCTCCCAACTGAGGCTCCCTCTTCCCAGTGTGTGTTAAGTTGACAGAAAACCCAGGCAGCACCATTGAAGAAGCAAAGGACATTGGGAAGGGACAACCAGCACAGGAAGGTTGTCTTTGGAAGCCAAGACTGGGAGAAATACCACTATGAGTTTGATAATTTGAGGCTTAGGAAGGTCTCACTGGTCCAAATCTCTGCTCCATGTGAGGTTCTGTGTAATTTTTCACTTTCCTTCAAACATATTTTGTGCATTATCAGTAGATGTTATTAATTAAATGAAAGCATACTCTTTCTCAACTTGCATCACAGTACTATTACAAATTTATAGAATTTAATAATTTGTGACCATTTAACTTATCCTCATTATGATTTCTAGAATATATGAATCATTAGTTTTACCTAGGTGATTGTTAATACGAATGTTCCTAAGTATGATCCCATTATCTAGGAGCATCTCAGTCAGAGACCTTTAAAATGTCAGAACATTCTAAGCTTCTGTTTTCATGTGGTTTAATGAAGAGATCAAAAGAGGCTCTTAGTAGTTTTCCCTAATTTGATTTAATCATGATTGAATTAGGTTGACTTTGTGTCATACACTTCCATGATGTGTATGGTTTGAATGCCCAGGTGAGCCCTGCTGGTCTGGCTTCAGCAGGGTTGTTACCCGGTGGCCATCAGGATACCACCCATGATGGAGTTGAGCTCAGCTTTTCATGGAAGGAGAAGGTAAGTAGTCTATTGAATCCTTCATCCCCTTTTCACCTTATTAGAGCATCTGGGCCACAAGAGTCTACCTCAATACCACCACCATCCATATGGTTCACATCCTGAGGGCTTCAGGGTAGCATCTATGGAGTCTGTGGTATCTGCAACCTCAGGGCCAAGACTGGTAAGTGAGTGCTGTTGTGTTCAGTAGCCTAGCTGAACAAAGGTAAAGCATGTTAGGGATGCATGCTTTGTTGACAAAGAATAAGGCCAGAGTGTCTAAGTGGTATGATGGGCAGTCTTGAGAGCTGAAGCCTAGGCCAGATCAACCCTGCAGAGTGAAAGGCAAATCTAAACCTGTGTGGTGGTATATTGTGTACCCTAATAAACTTGCCTAAGGATC